GGCATGCCACCATATTTTATAAAGGCAACCAACACTCTGATGCGCTAGCAGGTATCCATCCATTGTCTAATAATATAAATAACTCACAACGCCATAAAGAAAGTTATATGCGCTACCATTGTACTGATAGCCATCAAGCGAATACAAGAGAAAAAGAGGAGATTTACAAAGCATGTTCTCTGGAATTGTAAGTTTAGGCCATAGATTATCGATGCCATTTGTGGATCTACTCAGTAATAAATAGTGAACTAGAAGCGCAGTGATTCTCAACAGTGAGCTCCTGGCAAGAAGAATGCAGTAAATGATTTTGTTTAACCGCTCGTTCACGCAAGAACCGCCTAGCAATAATATATATGGCTATGCTCACATTGGCTAACATGACCTGCTCTTTTACAATGGTGCAGTTGCCATGTTATTGTTAATATTGGCTGTGATGGTGTGTTGCATTACGGTTAAGCTAGCTGCCATGTGATCAATGCTAGGTCCATCTACCAGTCTGTCCTTTGCTGGCAACGAATCGATTGGGAAGAAATGTTAGTGCTGTGAGAGTTGTTGCACAATCTGTGCGGACACAAATAAACAGACTTAAGTGAGCAGTTGGCAACCGCAATATCATTTACTATTTAGCATTGTAGAGAAAAAAGATGCGGACCACTAAAATTTCTATGATAAAAGGAAAAGTTTAAATCAACAAACAGGATTACTGGACCTACAATACAACGTTTACTTTATTCAAACATGCTGATCAATGTCTTTCTTAGTTAAAACGCTATTTATAACTTTTTAATCATTTATTCTTGATCATAAGCTATAAGCAATCTAACCACCTATCAACAGGTATAGCGTGCTCCAGAGTTATCCTGTTTTACTGATATTTATTTCCAATTGTTCAGCTTGGTAATCTTTCACATATCTACCCAATATTTTGTATTATGCATGGTCCATTAGTCCTAGAAGTATTTTCTTTTCTCTTTTATTTCACCAGATATGTTCATTCTTATGATAATACCGTTTTTTCACGCGTAATATGCGTAGTACTATGTCCAAAGCACATCAGTGCATGCCACGACGAATCACTGAGATGAACAAACAATCCTGCCTTTGCATAATATGTGTCTCTCACGATACCACACATCTTAATGATATTACCTATGCGGCGGGCAATGATATATTGTTACTCTTGGTTAATTAACGCCAAATCGGATTAATTTGCGCAAAGATACACTTCTTGTCGCGATAACACGAATACAGATGGTTCATTAAACTGCATAAATTTATACCTTTTACCGCGTGTTTCCTTTATAGGCATCTTCCTTTTTTGTTTGTTCATATTTTTTAACAGGAACAAAAATTTGTATCCCCAACACACGGCTGATCTATGCACAAAAATTTTATACTTTTCAATTTTGCGGCGTTTTTGCTCCATTCCTGCTACGCAACCACCCGCCACTTCTGGTTCCACATCACGAGTGAGTGCATATTTATTAAGGTCCGATTAAATTGTTTCATACAAATTATGGGCTGCCTGAGCATTCCGAGTGCTTTCATCTGGTCCTACCTGGCAGATCGGACGAAGTGGCACAGGCAGATTATTGCCATCAATATCCTTCTCTACATCTTGGCGTCCGTTATTAATTTCAAATTGAAAGACATCGGCGGGAAGTATATTGTTCAGTGTGGATGCGTGCTCGCAACGCTTCTAAGAGAAATCGCCATTGGCGGTACTTTTTCGATTTTTTTTGCTCTTGTTCTGAATTACACGAAGCGAACCAACTCATCGAATCGGAACGTAGGTATCGTTAAGATGTCTGGAATCTTTGGTATTATATTCGTGATGATGGTGCTGGGCATAGCCGGTTGTTTTTTTCCAGCACTGAAAGAGGGCAAAAGGAACATCGCGCTTGCTATGTGTGTATTGTCCGGGGTGCTCTCTGCATTGGTTGTCTTCTTTTCACTGCCCGAGTTCATAAAACCAGAAACGGTTCTTTTCAAGAAAAAAATTTCGGTGAAGGATTTTTTTAGGAAGATCTACCAGTACACGAACCCGATCATTCTTACATTTTTCATTACAACTGTCTTAATCGGTCTGAATAGGATGGCTCTTGACAACTTTTCCGCGTCGTTCTGCCGTCTGATAGGATATGAGATGCACCATATCCGATTGTTCTTTGGTTTTCGGATGATTTTAGAAGCGATCATCCTTTTCTACAGTGAAAGCGTGTGCAAGCTGATCGGAGTTTACCATCTTTTGCTGCTTGCTGCCGTTTGCACCGTTTTCCGCACATTCATACACACCGTCGTTGATCTTCTCCAGGCATCGAAGTACCGCAAGGCATCGTTTATATGTGCAGTAGAAGCGTTTAAGGCGATTTCTACGTCTGCATATTTCTACTCATCCACGCTGATTTTCAGGTCTTTTGCCAAGTATGACACGCAGACACTTGCGTTGGGTCTTAACAACTGTGCCTACAACGGCATGCCCAGTGTTCTTTTTTCCATAATAAGCCTAATCATTTCCAATCCACTCTCCTCCGGTTCCTCCAGCGGTTCCAATACTACTGTGCTCGATGAACGAGCACAGTACAAGTATTTCCTTACATTCTTTCAAATAGTAACAATCGCGTCTTTCTTTGGCGTCATTATTACCGCGGTAGGCATTTACTTAGTGAAGAGAAACAAGCTGGAAAACTTTGAATGGACCATGCACAAATAAAACGTACTCTTTAGATTTATCCTAAGAGGTTTTTAGTGATGTAGCAGACTGTGAGAGAGAAATGATCCAAATAAAGTAAGTTTATTTTCTGAAAACGATTCTGCTGAAGAATAGGACACTATATTTTTTTTACACCAAAAGACCATTTTTCTCCTCATATTATAACACCTAATCAATTTAATTGTTGCTAAAAGAGTAAATTTAACCTGATTTTAGCATAAGGGGTAATATTCTTAGCAATAATTGATCGAAAGTGATAATAATCAACGACAAAGGCGTATGAAAGAACACTCTCATATGCTGACTGCATGTTTGGCTGGGTAGCAGAATCGTGAATCATATCAATAATGTTCTTTGCACCATCTGGATACGGAATATTGGTTGCACATAGGCCGAGAACAAAAGGATATTGGGGATGAACAAGATTGCTGTGCAAGGAAAAGAGGTCATGCATATGGATGGAACAAGTGATAATAGGTATGTGCAAGGAAAAGAGGTCATGCATATAAATTGTACAAACGGTATACGGCGTACACAACAGCCTCGATAAACAAAACCTGTAAAATGCTCGCTTGCAGCAATAACACGTATAAAAACGTACATATGTCGTAAATTTTTTCGATACTGAGCTGTCTTGTTACTATAATCTCAATGTTTTGAAACCACATCTTCACTACGCTGTAAAACGTTTTGTTTCACCATGCGGATTTAAAAGCCATGGATCACCGATCGAATGAATGAACGTTACAAGCAGCTATTCTACTCAAGCATCATCCTATTTTCTTCATATTTCTCGTATGACATTCCAGCGGCCCTCAACAAAAACATACATCTGGGTGATTCCAAGTTTACATCGTACGAAATCACGGTCCTGTACTCGGTGTACGCCTTTCCAAACATATTCGTTCCCCTTATCTTTACGTTTGTGACCGAGTACTCGGAGAGCAGTTTGAACATATTTCTCTCGTTCCTGGTTCTTGTGGGGCAGTGCGTTTTTACCCTGGGAATCTTCAAAGGACTGTTCTATGTCGCTGTGCTCGGTAGGCTGCTCTTCGGAATAGGAAACGAAACCCTTTTTGTGATTCAGAGTAAGCTTATAACAACAAGTTTTAAGGGACGTGAGCTTGCATTCGCACTAGCCTTGTTCACATCGCTTGGTAGGTTGGGCATCGTATTCAACTTTCTGATAACACCATACCTTGCCAAGAGGTACAACGCAACTGTTCCGTCTGTGATCGGGCTCTTTCTAATTCTTGTGGGCTTAGTGCTCAATCTAATGGCAAAGCGACGGCCATTACAGATTTATCACGCTGATTTGAACATTGGTGAGCCAGTGCGCGTGCACAACACGGACAAAACGGTGGTGGTTGTGCCAGATGTTGAACATGCACCGGCCGTGCATCTTCCAGAATTTGTGGCGAGTGGGTGCTTTTTTGGGGATGAAGCGAATGTATGGAACGAAGAGTGCCTGATGGACTCTAAACCTATGAAACTACCGTGCAGAACAGAGCCATCCACGTTTTTTAAGAACAGCGGAAGTAGAAATGCGGCGTATCGTAAGATTAAAGATGGATCAAAGGAACGGTCCTGTTTTGTGAGCGATGAGAACTACGAAAATTTGTGGAGTGGTGGGGATGACCTTCTGAACGAGAATGAGGGTATGGTTTCGGCAGGCGCAAGTAGTGTTATGACTGAGAATGATCACAAGGACGACCGCACGATGAACGCAAGCCATAACGGATCTGTTATCAACCAACCTATCCATGGAACCATAATCGATGAACACCTTGAAAGATCTAACATTGGTCACAACCACACCACCTACAGCAACAACGATGCACTTGTCATAAACCAAACCGTTGAGAACAGGACGTGTGATATCACCGGCATGACGGTTTCAGAAAAAGGAAAAAGAACCGTTTTTACTTCGCAGAATGCGCTAAAAAAGCACCGCATTTCGTTCGATGATATCACCGATTTGGACCACTCCCCCGTCATCTCAACACCGCCGGGAAAAACTGCCGACAAGCAGAGCATCAATCCGTATTTCAGCATGCTTGTTCTGATTGCATTCTTATCCGCATCTGTTTGGGCACCTTTCTACAACTTAGGCCCTCTTCTGTTCCAAAAACGCTACGGCTATACGAGAGAGGTATCGGCATCCATGATGGGTCTTTTAGAAATAATCCAAATGTTCACCATCGTCGTAATCGGCTTACTGTCCGATCTTACGGGCATAAAACTGCTATTTGTTGCATTTGGTGCGCTCCTCCTTATGTTTTCACATGTCTGTATTTACCTCAATTACAACATAATTGCCATTATTTGCACCCTAGGCATAGCAGGCCCGCTGCATTCCTGTTATTGGCCGTGCGTGATCAACTTAGCATCTCAGGAACAGCTGTCCCTAGCATTTGCTATAATTTCCAGTTTTCTCAACCTTTCCTTTACAGTCAGTCCGTTGCTCGCATCCTACCTGTTGCAAATTGACAACACGTTCAGGCTCATAGAGGGTGTTTCCATTATTTTTGCCATACTTACATTTATAATGGTGGTTATGCTTAATTTTATAGATTTCAAGAAGAAACTAGGAATGAATAGGAAGGTTAAATGCTAACGTACACGATTTTGGTTATTTATCCTATCATGGCGGTTTACCTATGTATGAGGGAAAATTGATCAAATAAACATATTTTGTATCATCAAGGATCGTTGACGCATTTTCACGCCAAACCGCAATCCCAGCAATTTTCTCCTTCAAATGCAAAGTAGAGAGGCTTAGAATGATACTTCGACACATCACTGCGGATAATTTTTTCGTTACTCGTCCCTTAGTCACGGTACAAACGTTATAGATGAACAAGTAATAAGATATGCACTCACATACCGGCCCAGAGTTGCAGTATGGCAGAGTGTTTTCAATGTTTTTAAAAAGCATTTCTATAATTTATAGCAACTCATCACTGTTACAACCATCTACCCGTGTTAGTACAGGCTCTGCCACAATGTGGTACCCTATAGCACCAAATTTGTATTTAAATTCATAGAACTGTTCCTCCACGATAAATTGCGCCAAAACTATTCCGTACACCAGTCCTGTGTTAAGTGCAAATCATTCGTTTTATTTCTATTTATTCTGCTACGTTCTTCGAGCAGTACCACATGCGCATGCTATCATTTCTTACATCATAATCAATAATCGTATTATTGGTTAGTATGGTTTATCTACCGCTGGTAGAAGGTCCACATTTACAGCCATGAATGAGCAATTGATTCTGTTGTGAAGCGCACTACAGAACCGTTTTTATACTACGTACCGTTCATAAGGGAAAGGTACTTTAATCATCGTACAGCACCGTTTAATTGCCATTTCTTCCTCTTTCCTAAAAATACGTTTCATCGTACAGCACCGTTTAATTGCCATTTCTTCCTCTTTCCTAAAAATACGTTTATCTACCTTTTCATACCTACAACTGAATCTGCATATGTAATTCCTCAAGTTTTCGTATTTTCATCCTGTATGTATAGACACGTATTTGTCCGCTCTCTTCCATGTATGTCCTACAAGTGATCACCTCATACGCACTACATGTTATAAAACCAAAACAACGCGTAAAATAAAACGTACAACTCGATTCAACGTGTTACACCAATTCAAATGTATTTGGAAGCGTGTTGCCTCCACAATAGCACAAAAGGAAATAACGCGCCAAAATTTACAAATCACGAACCAGAGAATGCCCAAAGTCTACAAATTTATGTACCGTTCCAGTCCACATCAAGTAGAAATCTGTAATTCGTTCCTCTCAAATGTAAAAAGTGTGGAGCTGCTCATGTTTAACCACGTGCGCTGTGCACAGCATTATAAATACGATGTAACAAATAGCGGTCCTGCGCGCTCTTCATGGTCAACAACGCTCATTGCTCTGAATTACTTTGAAACACTGCTTTTTATTTTTCAGTCGACAAATCTTTCCGTATTTGAAACATGAAGGGAAACGAGAAATACATCGTGAACGGGTGCAAATAGCAGGTAGTGTAAATTAAACGTACTAAGCATTTAATATATGAAAATATGATGTATAACGCACACAGCATCGTTTATACTTTACTCTACCAAATTGCTATATTTTTGTCATAGTTCGTACACTGATGTGCCACAACACTTCCTAATTCTTGCCAAAAGTGCTCTCAACCTCTCACGCAATCTCCTTCTGACAAACACGTGCTCAACACTTCAATTCCACTCTCTTGCTCATAGCTGTATGCTACAGCACTAATAAAATTTTTCGCTGTCACCAATCGAAATACACCGGCATACAAATGAACAATCACTGATACGTTTCCAAAAAAAGATTTAAAGAAAAAAAAACAAAACAGTGCATGGGTCTGCTACGCAATGAAGAGTGCGTTTCGTTTGAACGGCTGATGGAGATAAAGGATGAAATAAAGAGGCGGGGCATCGAACAGTTCATAAAGATTTATAGGTGTAAGAAGGATGTGGTAGCAAAGTTCAGTTGTGGAGATGAGATTGAGTGTATGTTGATTGGGGAGGAAGGAGAGAATTACAAGCTTTGTAATGTTGCTGAAGATATGATAAGGTACTTCAGGAATTGCCATAAAAAGATGTTAGCGGTTTGCAGGGAAGATGGGAAATGCAAGGGATGTAGTTATGGAGGAGATGGGGGAGTAGATGGGAAATGCAAGGAATGTAGTTATGGAAAAGATGGGGGAGTAGATGGGAAATGCAAGGAATGTAGTTATGGAAAAGATGAGAAATGCAAGGGATGTAGTTGTGGGGAAGGTGATAGAACTAACGAAAATAACAAAAACGAAAAAAATAAAAATAACGAGCATTGCATCAACAAAACGGACGCAGAGAACGACATTGGTGAGCAAGCGGACGTCACGTGCTTGAATGCACTGATCAAAGAAGGCGTTGAGCACAACCTATCGCTCAAGGAATGCAAGAAGGAATTGCTTTACCTCCTCAAATACAACCCAAAACGGATCAAAGACCTTTACGGCTACGACACCCTGAACATAGGAATTACGCTTATCCCTGAGTACGCGTCCTACATGGTTGAAACGATTCCTATCTGCCCGATCACCGAACCAAAACTGTTCCACTCAGACATGAAGCAGCGCATTAACCTGGTGGAGAACACCCTAAAGAAATTCATACCGTGCGGTATACCCGTGCTTATGACCACGTACCCGTTGATCGGTGTAGGTCATTCATTCTTCTCAAAGAAGCTGAAAAACTACGATTTTAGTGTACGCTCCAAGGTACTTACGTATGATGACACCTACTCGCTTAGTTTTCCCGATAATGCGGTCAACAACCATCCCCGATTCCTTTCGTTTATGTCGAACATTGCGAAGCGTAGAGGAAAGAAGGTTGAGGGGTATTGCGCTGTTATGAGCGACACGTGCATTGACAAAGAGGAGATAAGCATACACACCGAGGAGCGGAGACGGCACATGAACGGAATGCTGTTAAATGAAGGTATGAACGGAGACGAAGGGAATGCTACGAGTAAGAGTGGTACAGAAAATGAACGGCATACCGATACCATCCTCATAGACTCAATGGGACAAGGCATGGGCTGTTGCTGTCTGCAAATAACGGTACAGCCGGGCAGTATGGACGATGCCCGTTTTATACACGACCAGCTGGCGATATTAAGTCCTTTACTGCTGAGACTTACACGTGCTACTCCTTTTGCATGTGGTAAGCTGCTCAATACGGATACACGATGGGACATGATTACGTACAGCGTGGATTGTAGAACGGACGAGGAGAGGGGAAGTGAGGTGCACGTATCTGGGCTGTGTAAATGCGGTAAATGCGAGGTTTTTGTAAACAACGGGTTTAATAGAAAGGTAGGTGTGTTGAACGGAAAGGAAAGTAGGAGAGATGAGTGTAGTGGCAACGAAAATACGAATAATGGTAATAACGAGGACGGGTTCTTCACGCTTGGGAAATCAAGGAATGTTCCGCTGATCCCCAAGAGCAGGTTCTCAGCAGTTGACCTGTTTCTCGCAGAGAGCGGCCGTAAATATTGCGATTTATTCGTGCCGTTGCACGAACAATCCCTAAAAATGCTCAGAGACTGCGGAGTGGAGGAGCAGCTGAGCACGCACATCGCATCGTTGTTCATACGCGATCCTATGCTTGCGTACGAGCAGAAGGAGGGCGGTGAGTTTGATGACTTTGAGAACATACAGAGCAGCAATTGGCGGAGCGTGCGCTTCAAAATACCGCTGGACGATGGGTGGCGCGTAGAACTGCGCACGATGGAAATACAGCCCAGCGTATTTGAGAACAGCGCAATCGTAGGCTTTGTAATGCTGCTTGTGCAGTACATCCTGAAGAAGCGTGTGAATTTTTATGTGCCGATGAGCCGTGTGAATGAAAACTTCAGGAGAGCGAATTTATTTACGCACACCGCCGATGATTACAAGGACGAGCAGTACGAGCACATGGAACATCTGTTCAAATATGCGTCAGACACGCTCTCGCACACGCATGCCGTATCGTTCAACGATTTTATCAAAATATTCGAAAATTACTCGCTCAGAATACCAAAGGATAACACAACGTTCTTCTATCGCACCAATATTTATGATGACAGTGATGCAGTCATGCAAGAAGGCACCCTAAATGACATATTTAACGGAACGGCAACGTACAGGGGTATCATCGATCTGCTTATCGAGGAGTACCCCTCGTACAAAGCAATGCTTACGTTCATTAAGATGAAAGCGGATAATTCGCTCGTGTCCGTAGCAGATTATTTCAGGTACTTCATCATCAACCACAAGGAGTACAGAAACGATGGCACGATCAGCAGGAAAGTGTGCAATGATTTGATCAGGAGGGTGAATGAGATACGTAAGATGGATCATTGGATGTATCTCAAGAGGAGGGAGTAGTGATTTTAGAACATTTAGTGGGAGTGCAGTATTTGATTGAGATGGTGGAACAGTGCATATCAGGAATCGGAATGGAAGGCTACTGCGATGTAATGCTTCAACAATGAATTTGAACTATAAATCGTAATTAAATCCTTTTATTGGACCGTAGCACGCACCATGGTATTAACCGTATTGTACAACGAACTGATAAGAAATAATAAGTGGTGGTAGAGTAGAATGCAATGTAAAAAGAACACTGCTTGAATTGTGCCATTCAATTTATGCCTGTAACACAAATTATCATATTACCATTCATTATGTACCGCTATATTTTTCATTTCACATATACACCTGTACAAATACGTGGTGCTGAAGCGAAAAATATATTAATTAACGTTAGTTGGTAAATTCTCGGTGAATGTTAGTAAGTATTACCATAATTGGTAATACTAAACGCTAATTCTACCCATTTTATCTCCTCACTCTTTCGTATCGTTCATACTCTCCATAACACGTCTCAAGTGAAAATGCAGGGCCCTTTCCAACACATGTACATCCTTTGCATCGTACGATATTCTTTCGTCGTTGCACTTCTCTGCAAATACGCTGAGCAATTCCTTCTTGCCAAGGATCTTCCTTGTCTGGTAAAATGTACTAATATAGCACTCCTTGTCCGTAACACTGTACGTATCAGTTTTACTGTCAAGCACCTCCTTGAGGAACGTGTTGTCCAACAGCTCTTCCGTACGTAAGGACTGACCGGTAAATAAATTGTTCATTCTGTTCTGGCAGTGTATCTTTGCATGTAGCAATCCTTTTATTGTACTGTTGTACTCCTTTACTGTTAGATTGTTCATTTCAAGCACTTCTCTTGCTCTGTGTTTTGTTATTTTTTGGTTTATTACGTTCAACACGAGGGCACTGAGCAATGCTGACTTGTCCTGTTCATGCAGTATTTCACTCTTTTCTTGTTCATTTACTTTTTGCTCATCTTTTCTCTTTTCATTTACACCTTGCTTGTGCATACCATCATGCTGTTCTTCATCATTCTTTTTGATACGCTTTATATCACCACTTTCTACTAAGCATTTCTCTTCATATTCTATATCGTCCACTCTCTGCACATCTTTCCTCTTCTTTGTCGTATCATCTTTTTTTACTTGCCGTGGTGCATTAGCAAATGCACTTTTTTTTTCATTTGTGTTGTTACTTTGCACGTATTTTTGTTCGTTTTCACCATCCTTACCACTCCTATACCCCTC